CAGTGTTGTCTGCACTACACCCCAACACAGGGCCTTCTCCCAGCTCTTCCTTCTGCCTGAAATGTTTTCCCTGGAGTTGACCATGGCTTCCTCTCCTGCAGGTTTTATCACTCTCTCAAGAAGACCTTCTAAAACATGCCTATTTTTAAATTAGAATATTTTTCATCACTTCCCATCTCCTCCTCCTGCTTCATCTCTATGGCCCTGAGACCATCCGAATATTACTTTTGAAATTGGTTTACTCTCTCGGATAGACGTTCCACAAAGGTTGAGAGGCATTCTCTGCTGTTTGTCCAATGCTGTTATTCTAGAGTGGGTGAGTGAACTGCAAATATAGTTGTCAAGCAGCTTGTCTGGATTTGTGAGCTTCCAGGGCTGAAGCATAGCTTTCCTGCGCCAGCCAACAACTCTGACTCCAACTTTTTTGGGGAAAAGGAACTTACTCTTTATGACATGATAATTAATTTTTAGATTTTCTAGTGGATAAATATTTTTAAAGCACTTGGAACAGTGTCTGGCCCATAGTAAGAACTCTGTGTTTATTTTAAAAGCAATAAATACTTCATCAAGCATTTTGTGATAAATAACATTGACAGAATGTGAACCAAGACCAGTAATCCTCAAGAGGTTCAGAGGAGTCCTAATTCTATTATGAAGAGTGGCTTTATTTTTTTATTGTTTTGCCATTTTGAGAATTGAACCTGGAGCCTTGTGCATGTGAGATAAGTGCTGTACAACTGAGGTCCATTCCTAGCCTGAGAGGGGAGTCTGACTTACAGAGCAATTGAGTCTGACAGCTTACTAGAAAAATATCAGTAGTCACATGTCCTCTTTACTCTAGAAAAAAGCAAACTACCCAGTGTGCTCAATGGGATTATAGATACAGATATTTATGAAATAAACTCTAAAGAATTACATTTGATGGTGCTGGGAAAACAGGTTATCTATATGTAGAAGAATGAAACTAGACTCTTCTCTCTCATCCTGCACAAAAATCAACTCAAAATGGATCAGAGATCTAGGATTAGATAAGAAGTTATCCAACTCCTAGAAGAAAATGCAGGATCAACACTTCAGCATATAGGCATAGGCAATGACTTTATCAGTGGGACCCCTAAAGCTCAGGAAATAATTCCAAGAGTTAATAAATGAGACAGCTTCAAATTAAAATGCTCCCGCACAGTAAAGGAAACAATTAAGTGAAGAGAACCTACAGAATGGGAGAAAATATTTGCTTGTTACTCTTCTGACAGAGGATTAATATCTAGAATATATGAAGAACTCAAAAAACTCTACACCAAAATAAATAAATAAATAAAATAAACCAATTAATAAATGGGAAAGTAAATTAAACAGGTACTTCTCAAAAGAAGAAATGGCCAATAAATATATGAAAAAATGTTCAAGATCGTTAGCAATTAAGGAAATCAAAACTACATGAGATCTCATCTCAATCCAGTCAGAATGACAGTCATCAAGAATACAAATAATAATAAATGCTAGAGAGGATGTGGAGAAAAAGGAAACTTTTACACTGTTGGTGAAATTGTAAATTAGTACAACTGTTAAAGATATCAGTATGGAAGTTCCTCAAAAGACTAACCACCATATAACCAAGCTGTACCTCTCCTTGGTATTTACCCTAAAGAATTAAAGTCATCACACTATAGTGACGTGTGCATACCCATGTTTATAGCAGCACAGTTCACAGTAGCCAAATCGTGGAACCAGCCAAGGTGTCCATCAAGGTATGAATGGATTTTTTTTAAACATGGTATATATACACAATAGAGTTTTATTCAGCCATAAAGAAAAATGAAATTGTGTCATTTGCAAGAAAATTGATGGAACTAGAGACCATTATGTTAAGCAACATAAGCCAAACTCAAAAGGCCAAAGGTTGCATGTTTTCTCCTGTATGTAGAAGCTAGAGAGGAAAAAGGAAAAGAAAGAGGTGGGATGGAGATCTCATGAAAATCAAAGGGAGCACAGTAGAGGAGGGGAACCAGAGGCTGGGAAGGAGGGAGGAAGGGCTGGGCAGTGATATTAGTCAATTATATTGTTATATTGTGCACAAGTTCAGGTATGTCACAACAAATCCCATTACTGGATTAAACTGTAACGTACCAATAAAAAATGTGAAAAGAAAAACAAAGAATTGCAATTGAGCTTAACCATGAAACATATGGTTATAAAAAAATTACCTCAGAGGTGTGAGCTCAGGGATAGAAAAGGAAAGGGGCTGCATGGTGTCTAGCCATTCACTAGGTGAATATTCATGCACCCAGCACTTTTCAGGGGATAGGGCTGCCTTCTAGGATCTCACCACCTAGTGGAAGAGAGATACGTTAACCAGCAGTTCCCAGTTCAGCCCTAGTGCTGATAGAGATGCACCTGGAGTAGGTTGCTTTCTCATCTCATTGTGATATCCAAATAAAAAATCATTTGCTACCAGTAAAATGTAGTGGACAGAACTCACCCATTTCTATCCACACCTTGAAAAAGGCACATTAAGATGCAAGAAATAAAATTGAGAGTCATGAACAGTGGCATTTTTTGTTTTATTTTGCAAGGATTGAAGCCAGAAGTGTTCTACCACTGGGCTATGTCCCCAGCCCTTTTTATTAAGACAGGGTCTCAATAAGTTGCCCAGCTGGCCTCTAATTTATGACCCTCCTGCCTCAGCATCCTGAGTTGCTGAGATTACAGGAGTGCACCACTGCACCCAGCTATGAACAGAGATTTTTAACTTTGGCTGAACATTAGAACTAGCTGCCAGGAGTTTTAAAATTATGATGCCTATACTGTTCCCCAGATAAATCAGAACCTCAAGATGGGACCACGCATCAGTACTTTAATGCTCTAATTTTTATAAAGAGAACAGGAGGGAAGACAACAGTATTCTTAAGATATCAACATCATTTTAGCACTTGAGTTGGGTCTGGATCCAAAATGGACTTAGCAGAACTAAGCAAACCAAAATAAAAATAAAAAAATCCTGGAAGAAAGGAGGCTTGGAGGACATCTGTTAGAAGAACAGAGTCTGTCCTGCTTGGGAAGGCTTGGGACTCTGGGAATCTGAGAATCTGGGCATATAGTAAAGGAAACACCAGAGGGTAGGCTCAAAGGCTGTGTGAGGAACAGCCAGGTGACACAGCCTATCCCATTCTACCCTGAACCTGCCCCAGGCTTGCTCCCTGGAGAGAGAGAGTGAGAGAGAGGACTGGGTACAGTTGAGAGCAAGAACGAAGACAGGCCTATGAGAGAGTGGCAATCCCCAGCATCTTAGGTGTCTTCCACAAACGATGGTGCCAGACAGGCCACCAGGCAGTACATGAGAGCGTGCAGCACTGGGCAAACTGGCCCAAGAAGAAAGTCCAGGCCCCTTTTAACACCCTATGGGGATGTCCATCCATCCGCAAGCTACACATCTTGAGTTTCTATAGTCAGCTTTAGAGGACCTCACTTTAAACAAGAAAGAACAGCAAAGTGATCACCAGATATTTAAGGTCAGTAAAATGAAAGCCAAAAATCCAAACAGGCTGGCAAAAGTAAATAAATAAAGGGAACTTAGGGAAAAAATGACACACTTTAGTGAGCAGAAAAACAATTCCTAAGTTTATATGGATGGATAGATGACCACATTTAGATAAATTGATGGATAGATACAGACCTAGATATAAAATTAATAACCTCAGAAGAAAGTGGGAATATACTTTTGCTGGGTGCTCTGGCCGATGGAGCATCTGTGCTCTGCCACCCCACTGTGTGGGGGTGACTAAGTCCTGGTTCTGTCACTCTTTGGCTCTGTGGTTCTGGGCAAATTACTAAACTGTTCTCTGCCTCAGTTTCCTCTATTGTAAAAGGAGATTCATGCCCTTCTCAAGTGCTAAAATGATGTTAATTTCTTAACAGTACTGTTGTCTCCCCTCCTGTTCTCTTTGTAAAGATTGTAGCATAAAAATACTAACGCTAGGATTCCATAATGCTGTTCAGAGAACAAGAAAGAATCCTTAGAAATTATTAATGTGATGGCATAATTTTTGAAAAGTCCAGCAGAAAGTTCTAAAGTAAAAATTGAGGAAACTCTGAAAGAAATGAAAAAAAAAATTAAAGAAATGATAATAAAAACAATAAGAAAAAGATGATAAACCCGAGAGAGATAAGAATCAGAGAGAGGGTGAGGATGGGGTGTGGCAGACAGGAGAAGAAGAAATCATGAGAGTGATGACCCAAACCATTCCCCTAAATGACTGACAGAGGAGGGCCCCATCTAGGGCATGCCACCACGTTCTTTGTGAACACTGGAGTAAAGATCCCAAACATGTCCAGAGACTGGAAAGCACATCACACCCGAGGATTAGAATTTGAGTGGCAGAGGGGTAATCTAGTTCTAAGTAATGTGGACTTCTTCTGGAAAGACCACCCTACTGCTAGAATGCCCTACTTCTAGAACATAAAATTGCTTCATTTAGATGTATTTGTGGCTCAAAAAAAAAAAAATAGCTCTTGTGTGTTAGGCAATATGGGGGCTCAACTCTTTGCTGAGTGAATCTAAAATTCTCATATTTGCCCCTATCCAGGAGCATCTATTTCTTTTATTTTTAAACTAAAGAGTATTGTATTTACCACCTTCTTTTCCTCCTCCTCCAATTCTGCCTCAATTTTCTCTTCCAATTCCCTCTCCTCTGTTTCCTTTTTCTTCCCTTCCTTTACCTTCTGAGCCTTCATACTTTTGGGGTGTCTATTTCTGCCTCTTCTCTTTCTATCCGCAGAAGTCTGTGTTTGTCTAATAATTGGCAGGAGAGATCTTTTTTTTTTTTTTTCTTTCTAAGTGATGAATAGTTGGCGTCAGATCAAAGACAAGCCCTGTGGTTTTCTGGCTGCCCCAGAAGGGCGGTGCAGCTGGCGGGCGTCCCAGCTGCCTGGTGATAGGCATGTGGAAGAGATACCAAGCTCACAGGTCACTGTGTATGTGTTCGTGTACGTGTGTTTTTCAGGCCAACAGCAGGCTGAAGCAGATTGAGAAGGAATATACTCAGAAGCTTGCCAAATCTTCCCAGGTAAGCAACAGTAAAAGAACCAAAACAAAAACCAAAAATGAAACCAATACATCAAAGCCTTTGTACTTCAGAGTTAAATTTAATTCTTTTCAGTTTCTCGTGGATTAGTATCATATATTTGATGGGTATATAAATAAATAAAATATGTTTTTAATATTTCAAGAAAAATGAGGCACATTGACCCATTTGAACCTGAACACTCACACACTCAGATGTTGTAAAACCAGCCTGAACACCTGAACAAGCCCAGGCTAAAGCACATTTCACAAGGGTAAAAGACACCTACATTTGTGATGTAAGCAGTTTGATACCATCTGTGCTTTTTTGCAGTATTACATTTTGCTTCCACTAAAGACTACTTTACAACATCAGTCAAAATGATAAAGAATTCTAGGTTAAATCAGCAAGCAGTGCAACTGTTGATTCCTTTTGGAAAAAAGAAATCATAAGTCCCTAAATCCACATCTTGCTGTTTATTATGAACTATAGTAGTTTGGATATAAGAAAGACCTATAATTGAATACTCATCTCTACTTGAAATATGATGCTCAGAGTACCTTTCTGTCTTAAGTTGTTACAATGTTGTCCAGTGGCATTGTTTAGGCAATCCAAGCCTTCCCTAGTTATAAGGGTGATTCTAGAACAAATAGGTACTATTTAATCTTCATTTTGCAGATGGATAAATTAAGCCATTTAGTTTTGTAAGCTTCATATCTAATGATTTTTAAATTAGCTTGTCTTATATATTACAAGCATACAATGATATGCTTGTAGTAAACTGAAATTTATATTCCATGTTATGAGTTACCACATAACAGTAGAAACAACACAATAGCAAAACAATAATGGTATCAAACTGCTTGTGAGAACTAAGTCTGTTGACTCATTCAGCCTCATTCACAGGAGCTATGGGGTTAAGAACTATATCATTGGCCCCATTTTTCCAGTTGAGAAAACTGAGACTCAGAGAGATGTGATCACACAAGTTAGCAAGTGACTAAGCCAGGATCTGACTCCAAAGTGGAAATTCCAAACCTCAACACTACCAGCCTGGCCCAACCCTTTACATTTTTAATATGGCAAACTTTAGTGATAGTTATCAGGAAGTGTCTTCAGTTCTATAATTATTTCTAAAATGTGCATGTTATATAATTCTCATCCCATTAGGAAACCAAAAGTCTTTGTCTAAATGAAGAGTCAGATATGTTTACATAAGAGTTGATGGTGGTGTCTTGTTTCCAGCATTCCAGCCCTTTTTTGAGGAGGAAACATAAAGTTTCCTTTTTAACCCCTGAAAGAGATTCTTATAATCAAAAGAAATCTTATTATTCCAAAAATTAAAGTTTAAACTAAAACATGACAAATCCCTACTGGCATACACCTACATCCTGCTTATTTTGGTTTATGTTAAATGGGGGAAACAGACTGAGAGTGAGATATAAGATAGCTAATAAAAATGCCTAAGTAATGAGAGTATAAACAGGAGTACTTAAGTTTATCTAAAGGAATGTCTGAAGCAGCCCGATTAGGTGACATTAAAGCAAATTAAATTTAAGTTAGTGTTGTGGAAGAAAGCCTCCGCTTTGGAGTCCACAGGCCTGGATTTGAATACCAGTCCTACCACTTGTGTGACCCTGAGCCAGCTCACCTGCCTTCTTTGGAATTTGGTTCCTCATTTGTTGGATGAGGAGGCAGTGCTGACCTCACAGAACAATTCCAACCACCGAGTAAAACAATGCCAGAACGTGTGCAGTGTGGGGCCTCCTTCAAGCCAAAGCACCACAGAGCTGGGAGCAATTTTAGTGGAAGTACCAAAACTGCAGTTGAGAAAGGACACAGGGAGGGAAGAATTTTTAAAAGAGCTGTAAAAGGGAGAAATTATTTCTCAGATACTGTGTTTTAGAGTGTTCAAGGATTGATAAAATCTCCCTGCAAAATTTGGAGGCTCATAGGGTCACTGTTTTCTCAATAAAGACATGAAAGAACAGGAAAAGGATGTGGAAAACCCAACCAGGAACAATTGTCATGCTATAGTCCTTGTTTCACAAATGAAAGGACAATGCAACACCAAAACAGAAAAGAAACATGGAAAGGACACAGCAACAGAAGACAGCCCTCCCTCCTCATAAGAGGGAAAGCCTCACTTGGATAATATTTTGTTTGCCCACTGCTGAATACATATTAATATTTATACTAATGTAGGCGTATCTGCAGGTATTTATATCCATGAAGTAGCACTAGAGGAACATTGGTCTATATGCCAGTCAGTGCCAAAAAACAGATATTTTTAAATGAATTATAGAAAACAAAACCATGATTGGCTTTTTCCACTTTCAAGTGGTGGCTTACTGGAATCTCTAATACATATCTCATCAAGTTGATAGGAATGCCAGAAGCAAAGTTGCTTAACTCCGTTTATCAGAGTTTTTAAAAGCTCTCTTTTTAAAAAGGTAGTAAAATGAATGCATTAGTGATGGATGCATTGGCACCGAGGAGAGCAACAGGTTAAATTTGGAAAATATTTTAAATATCTTTCCTCCTTTAAAGGAAGCTACTTTATCTTTAAGATTTTATCAAGCCTTAGGACCTAACTCACCAGCACACGGAACCGTGAGCACACCTGCAGACTTGGGCTTCTCCAAGGTCCTCAGCATTCGCCATGTCCCCAGTGCTTGCATCATCTCTGGGCAGCTAACAGACACCATTTCCCTCAGAATCACATATTTGGAGTTTTAATCTCAACATTATATATCAGCCTTGCTTTTTCAGTCTTAATGCAATTTCCTTGCTCTGCAGTCACCTAGCGGCCTTTTTTCAAAGAAATATAGTGCTGTTTTGCAAGAAGATGCCTCCTTGAGAACCACAGCTGGGACACCAGCCAGCTCACCAGTGCTGAGGGACGGCTCCCTGCTGCCCCATGCTCGCTTCACCATCCCATACACGTTACCCACTGGCTCCTGACTGCATGTCACTCTCCAGGGGCCAGCCCAGACCGCAGAGGGTAGTGCGGAACTCCAGTGTGCTGACCTTCCTAGTCAGCAGTAGAGCTCATCATGTCTGTGGTGGTTTTTTGCTGTTGATGTTTTATTTTTGTTTTGTCTTGTGGAGTTGAACCCAAGGGTGCTCTTTACTGAGCTATACTCTCAGCCTTTTTTTTTTTTTAATAGAGTTCCACTAAGTTGCCCAGGCTGGCCTCAAACATGGGATCTTTCTAGATTATATTATAGTTTTAGAAAAATCTCAAACTACAATATGAAAAACATTAGAATAAGTTAAAGGTGAAATTTAACCTCTGTGGAATTCTGTTATATTTTGTTTTATTTGTTTGTTTGTTTACTGTGAATCTGGGGGTTAAACCCAAGGCCTTGTGCATGCTAGGCAAGCATTCTACCAACTGAGCTACATCCCCAGCCTGAAATTCTGTTATTTTTAAGATCTTCAATAATATCCCTAACATTTACACAAGATTTTCATTGCTTGACAATTATTAAACTACCATTGCTTTTAAGGGTTAGGTTGCTTACAGCATTGGCCCCAAATAGCTCTTTTATTTGCCAACATATTTTTAATATCTATATGAGAATGTTCTATGCCAGTTCTTTCTCTGAAGCTAATACAGGGTAAACATTTAGTTAACTGGTGGCATTTCACTTTATGGCTTTTAATTATGATTTAAGCACAACTGGAGAGTTTTGATTATATTTGTATATATTACCTTTTATTTTTCTCAGAAAATTTTACATTATTTTTCCATTAAAAGTCTATCCCAATATAATTTTCCAGGTGATAATTTTTCTTATTTACCATTATTACAGTTACACTACTTAAATATTTATTAAGTACTAGTTATATGCACTGGGCTAAGCTGAAAATGGTACATTTTCTTATACTCTGCAGCTACAACTAATAGACCTAAGGACCCATGCTTTGTTCCATATGTAAAGCATGCATGTTAATCTGAATGTTATGATTATTTATCAATATGAAAGTAATTATGTAACTCCTGTTTTTAAATATCACCCTATTTCAGCAGCCTCTCTATACCCATCATATCTGTCAGTCTGTCGGCCAATTTGTCTAACCAAGGTGTTTCACCTGAAATGGTCTGACATTCTCCTCCTTATGTCACCTTGATAATTTTTAAAAAGAGCTTTCCAAATGTAGTTTTATTATTCCTCCTGTAGGAATCTCATTATTCACCCAAAGAATGAAAAGGTTTTGTTTTCCCCAAGCGTGCCCCCTCAGAACATCCTGGACTTGAAGCTGCTCCCAAGTCTCCCTTTGATGTGGTCTTATCTTAAGTTTTCTGAAAATAAGGGGTCCCTGTTTTGTACCCTTGTGGTCATTTGAAGTAGTCCAAAATATTTTTATCTTCAGTCTCTGGTCAGTTATTACTAATCTCAATCCTAGAATTTTTTAAAACATAAAATTGCCTTGTACTTTAAAAAATAGATCACATGACTGTGGTTGTGGATACGTGACTCTATACACGTAATAACATTATATAAAACTAAACACACATTACAGAATCTAACCCTTCATTTCTATAAGGTTGTGGTTTATTCAACTTGAAACATTGAAATATTAAGTTGTTTTTACTCTTTGACCCCATGCTCTTATAAAAATATCAGTCTTAAATTTCATGTTAGGCCAAGGAAATCCAGCTCTTTCTGATCCCTTGCTCCTTTGGCCATGTGACCAGAGTTGATTATTTTGTGCTTCAATTCTTGGCATTTACTATAAGAATTTAACGTTTCCCATTTCATATAGGTGCTATCAGAATTAATTGGATTGATACCAAAATGGAAACAACATTTAATCAAAATTCAGAAAACAGACGAAAACTGTTCTATTCTAATCTCAGTAAATGAATTCCTCCACTCAGAGCAGAAGGCCCCAGTTACATTTATATATAGCATATATATATAGTATCACTATTATGTACCTTATCATTTCACAATTATGGTACTATTTGATTATTTATATATTCTCAATTTTAAGCTTTGTTACAGTGAGTTAAGTACTCCATATTTTCTGTAGCTAAACAAGCTATTATTTATGTCAATAATAACAACTAATGTTTTATAGGACTTGGCTCCCCAGAGACTCCTTACAATTTCTGTTTATTGTCTTCTGATGCCATGATCTGGTTTTGTCACCAAATAATAATTGGAAAAACAGAGCTCAAGAAAGATAGCTAGTGAGTCCGCTGTTTCTCACCAACCAGCTCCCCTCCTGTGGAACCAATAGAATTATGTGCAAACCCAGGACATAATTTTTTTTTATTAGAAGAAACACCATTTCCTGCTTTTAAAAAGTCATCACTATTGAATTTGAAAGGAAATGGTTTGGACCAAAAGAAGGGCAGTGCTCTCAGTAGGCCCATTAAATGTCAGAATTCCTCATCATGTAGTTCATTTGAGAAGTGGGAGAGAACCCTGTCCTAGAGGGAACCATTTCTCACATATTGGGAATGCTGCTGGAGTCTCTGAAGTGGTACCATTTGAACCCAAGTCAACTTACATGATTATGTACCAGTTAGGAAGAAGACAACATATTTGGAAGTATAAACTTCAATACCAAAACCTTGCTAAAAAGAAAAGTCAAGTCTGCTAGTTAGAGGAACCAGTTAATGCAGCAGTGGATCTGACTGCATGCTTCAACTCCTGCCTGTCTCCTTGTTGATGTCATCTTCAACAATGTAAAATATTTGACATCTCTCAGTGCCTCTGTTTACTCATTTATAAAAGAGGGGTAATACTTGTCCCACAGTAGTAAATGACATAAGAACTTGAGGTGCTTAACAGACTGCACAAACATTAGTGAATACCTAACACTTATCATAGAACTAGGTGACCATGAGGAGGGAACTCTATTCATTCTTTTCTTTGGTTGCTACAGTTCAAAGTCTTCTTAAAGGCAGAATCACTTTTCTCACTCTAATAAGTATATTTCCCAGCAAAATAAAATCTGACGCTTTTCATATTTTTGAGATCACAGATGTTCTTTCTTCTGATGAGTAAATATTGTGGAATGTTATAGTGGAAATGTCTTCCAAATATATTTGGTCCAGCAGTTGTTCACCATTCACAGTTTTATTATAGTCTTTTATTGTTGGAATTTCATGCATTAATAGTGTATGATATGTTAATTGAAAATATTTAGATTGTGAAAGAGTTTTGCCAGATTCAGTCTTTTGTTAGGCATAAATACATATAAAATAGATGCCTCTCACTGAAGAATGTGGAGTTATAGCATGCTGTTTTCATTTCAGATCATAGCAGAACTTCAGACAACCATTTCCTCTCTGAAAGAGGAGAGCAGCCGACAGCAGCTTGCTGCAGAAAGGCGGCTCCAGGATGTTGTACAAAAGTTTGAAGATGAGAAGCAGCAGCTGATTAGAGATAATGATCGAGCAATCAAGGTAATCTGAAGACTTCAGTAACCAGTGGTACCAGCTGCTTTCATGTAATTAAAAGGAGGCTGAAATCCCAGCAGTGGGCAGATGAATGCAGGTATCTGGCTTGCTCACACAGCCTGCAGTAATTCCATTCACTGGCCTCTACCTTTGATGTATCCAGTGACTCAGGCTGACTTCCCTCTAAGAGATTGCATGCCAGCATAAAAAGTCATTTTTGGCAAGCCCAGTCCATTCACATTGAACAAATATTTGAAAAATACCTTGTCCTTTCTCTTGAGAACCACTTTGGAATTGTCTCTTGAAATTAGAATGACTGTTTCAGCCCAGTACTGCTGCCTAACACATTCAGAAGTCAGCTTCCAATTTACATTCTCTTCTTTGCCCACATCCTTTCATTATGTATTCGCATAATGAGAAATAACCCATTGGAGGCTTGGAATGCCAACTATTTGATGTGCTTCAACACAGTACAGGGTGGACCGTTGCTGCTGAGAACTGAGGTTGTTTCCAAATGACTTCAGAGAATCACACCTTAATAGCCACAGAAAACTCCCTGGACCTGATTCTTTAGGTGATAGGCAGGCAGATCTCAAAGTAGTTTTCTCTTGGCTTCATAGTGATAGATGTTATTGTAAGCATCTATATCATGCTGTGTTTAATCTATGAGGATAAGCATCTGGAAACCTTTATAAATAAGGCCTAAAAGAGAACAAAAATTTTTTTAAAGAATTCCCACCAAAAGATTCTTTTTCAGTGATTTGACTTTACTCTGACAATGCTTAAAGCATGTAGAGTAATCATACAAAGAAAAATTCAGGTTTTATTACTGCCCTTTTCTTCCTAACCTCTTCCTTTTCCTTTTCTATTGCCCATCGTAAGCAATCTGAATAAAATTGGGGAAAAGTTAGTGTTCACATAAGTTATTTTCGCGTGTGTGCGCGCGCGCGCGCACACACACACACACACACACACACACACACACTCTTTAAGCCTGTGGATAATATTCAATAAAACAAAAAGCCTTGAAAGACAAAATCTTTAAGGCTATTACAGCCAGCCTTCCCACTTTACAGGTAAAGACTTGTGTTTGTTAATGACATTTTCCCTACTTATTTCCCCATGTGAGCTTTTTCCCTGGTTGTGTGATGAGATTTTAAAAAACAAAAAACTTCCCTTTTCATATTCTGGTAATGTAAACACATCTTTCAAGGCTTTTCACTTAAAAATGCACAGGAAGTGTTCATTGATCCATCTGTTTTGCTTTGCATGAACTGAATTGTGTACTTTGTCTAAATTGTTTCAGTTATATGTTTTATTTTAAGTGAATTTCTTTTCCATTTATGTTCAAATGCCAAGTGGTAGTTAATTTCCAAATTTTAAATATTAAATAATTAAATCCCTCTGGATAAGCAAAAAGGGAAAAACAAATTTGGTTACCCCTAACAACATAATTCCAATATTGTTTTTTGAAGATTAAAAAGTATGTTGAAAGAATTATAATTAGTATAATTGCCCATTTTTAATGACTTATTCTACAACTTTAATCCATTTACCTATTAAAAGGGGAAAACATTTTCATCCTCATTTTAAACAAAACCCAAATCACTAAGACTTAGCTTTAAATTATGGCAGTTTTTTTTTGCATGTAGCATAAAAACATAAAGCATATTTAAAAGTCACCTGAAAATCAAGAATTAAAATTATAATCCATTTAAGATACAATTCAGTTTTGGTTCACTTAAGTTAGGTATAAAGTTAGACTTTTTTTTTTTTTTTTTTTTTTATAACCCACAAAAATACTATAATATATTTTTTTTTTTTTTTTTAAGCACTTGTCACCCTTGCTCTTTTTCCCCTAGGCTATGTCACAAAAAAATAATAGGAATAATATCTGATCTTTATGCAACATGTACTAAGTGCTAGGCTGTCTACCAAAAATTTTCATTCATCTCATGTTCCAATACCTCACTTAAGCCTTTCAATAATATTTTTTTACATTTTATATTTTTTTATTTTCTGTAACCTTTGGAAATTAATCACATGAAACTAACCCTAACGCTAACCCTAACCCTTCTTCAACATGACTCTTAGTATAGAATAGTTCATTAGTTACGGTGAAAAATATGGGAAGGAGAGGGAGAGTGCCAGAGTCACAGGGGGCTGGCACATACCCGGAGTCTAGTAAACAGTTAATTGAATAAATTACTTTTGTTTATTAGCATACCACTCAGTCTCAAAAAAATAAATAAATAAACGGAGAAAAGTAGATCCAAAGATAGTTATATGCCACTCTTTAAAAAAGGAAACTTTCTTTAACTTTACACCCCTCCCACACCCCAGTTTCTAAACACATCATTTCACTGTCTCGGTGATGGACGATTCCATGATGAACTTTTCTTTCACTCCCATAGCTTTGGCTGTCAGGAAACCCCTGCTTTCCTTTACTGAAGGTGTCTGGTCCTGCTGGCCTTGGTGCGCCCTTCCAGCACGCCCGTCCTCATCTTGGCTCCCAAGGCATTGCCTCTGGTTCACTATCTTCCTTTTCATTGAAAAACCTCTGTTACTGAGTGGGTTTTTGAAGAAAGCATTGGAACAGTTCCTTTAGGCTTGTGATCTAAGTTTGGTGACATGGCTAAATCTTTGTCACCTGAGGATCTGTGGCAAATTCAATCTTGTAGACCTTTGTAGGCTTTGTTGGAGGTTTGCAGGCTTCAGCTAATCACTTCTCAGGGCCACAACTGGACTTTCTCCTTCCTCCACTGCTCAGGCAGGTCCAGCTCACTGTGGTTTTGCAGGATTCTCCTCTCCCGCCTTCTTGCCCACTATTTTCTCCACTTTGGCCTCCCTGCCCATATGGTAATATTTATAAGGAAGATACTTTCCTCTTCCTGATCTTACAAATGGAGAAACTGAGGTTCAGTAACCAGCCAAAGACCATACTGCCTAACAACTGTTGGACCATGTTCAGTGTGCCTTACAGAAGAGCCTGAGGTATTCAGGGTTATGCCGTGCCTCGGGATCCTGCATCTTGTCTATGAAAGCGAGTCAGATGACCATGTCAAGTGAACCTGGAGATACTCTAGCTACAGCTTTTTTGGAAATTCTAATTATGAGTATTTTATACATACAAATAGAGATAGTAGATAAATACAAGTACTCAAAGACACACTCACCAGGAAGCTTGGTTTCCTGGAACCAAATGCATTTGTCTGTAGTTAAGTCAACAGTGCTATAAAAGCAGTGTTCATGCTAATTGTGAAATGTCTTTCACCCACTTTCAGGTTTTTGGTGACCTAAGCTCCCTTTAGCAAGTGGTCAAGAATGGACGTGGAGAGAGTACACCTCTTCTTATCCCACCAGAGCTTCCAGTCATGTTTCCATGGGTGTTAAAATAATGCTTAAGAGAATATTTGAGGTATTAAATAGTCTACTAACATTGGCTGACAGGATTCCAGTCTCTGCAGTGTAACTTGATAAAACATTTTTGGAGGCTAATTTGGTGATACCTATCATTATTAAATTGCCTGAGAGACATACCTAGCCTTTGACCCAATCCCAGAATTTGCCCTAAGGTGACGATTAAAGAGGTGCAGTGAGCGTTAGCTAGTCAAGAAGATGCTTGTCCTGGCATTCATTCAGCAGTGTAATTTATTCAATTAACTATTTACTGGGCTCCTGATATGTGCCAGCCACCTGTGACTCCAGCATTCTCCATCTCCTTCCCATACTTTTCACAGTAAATAATAAACTGAAAACTACTCTAAACTAAGAATTATGTTGAAGAAGGATATTTAAGCATGTTAAAAATGTTCGCAAGATATTTTTCCATGAAAATGCAGGTTACAAAACACATGAGTTCATTCTTTAGGGGAAAAAAAAGTATACAAGAGCGAAAAAATTGCAATCATATATCAAAGTTCTACTGGTAGATATCTCTGAGTGGTGGATTTGTGTTGAAATTTCTTACTTTATATGTATTTAAATTATAATATCTCTTTTGCAATAAGATGCAAAAATCCTTATCATTGATTATTTTAGCTCACTTCCACATTTAAAGTCAAGTTTATAAAAAGAATGATCTCTGCAGCATACCCCAAACTTGGTGGCTTACAGCAACAGCTATGTCATATGCCCATAATTCTCAGGACCAGGGATTTGGGCAGTGGGGCAGCTGAGTGGTTCTTCTGCTCATTATGTGGCATTGCCTGGGCACTTCACAGGGTTCCATTTAGGAGGAAGCTTGACTAGAGCTAGAATGTCTGAGGTGGCTCCAGCACCTCCCCAAGGGGCCTCCCTCTCTCTTTAACACAGTACAGACTTTTCACTTGGAGGCTGCATGGCAGAAGGGAGTCTTAAATCGAGGTGAAGACAAAACTGCACTTCCTCTGAGGCCTGCTGTAGGAAGAATCACAGTGTCACTTTCATCACATCCAGTTGATCAGAATGGATCACAGGGACAGTCCAGAATCAAGCAAAAGAGAAATAGACTCCACCTTAATGGAAGCAAAGGCGGAGATTTTGAGGCCATCTTAAATCTCCACAGTAGTCTGTGCTAAAGGGGAGATTTCACCTCCTATTCTTTCCTCAACTGTACAGAATAATACAAAGAAATGTGAATTCCCACATCAGTAGTCAACTCTGTTGTCTTTGTAAAAATAGAAAATGGCATGTGCTCATGACCAAGAATAATTCAAAATGCAGAAGATAAAAAGTAAAAGATTTAAAAGTTACCTCATATCCTTCTCCCCAAAAATAATCATCATAGAATTAAGATGAAGGTCATTTCAGATACCCTATTATGTATAAGGAAAAAGAAGAAAAGAAAGCCAAATAGACTTATAAACTGAATAATACTATAGATTCTATTTTGTTTGTTTTATAAAACTATATAAAGAAATTAGTATAAAACAGAAGGAATTATTGAACTTTGGGACAGAATTTGATTTTGGACTGAAAAACGAGACATTTGTACTCTATACTTTCTTCCCCAGCCCCTGCTCACC